TCAGCACATTCACACAGGTATGTGTGTTAGCCCCCGTATTAACTTCCATACAACTTAGGAAAGAACAAGATGTCCGAAAAGGAGAACTCTGCCAGCGAAGAGGAGCTCAACGCCACTGTCGCCAAGGCACCGAAATGGATCAGCTTCGAGAAAAATTTAAAATTCTATAAGTAGCTTTGGACGCATCGAATAAGGAAAACAATTTATTGAAAAAAACAAATTCAATCGCGTGTCGACTCTGCCGACGCACACCTAGCCAACGTCATCCGTGCCGATGTAACCCCAGGTAAAATCTTTACCTACGCGCCTATATTTGCCGCTGCAAGTTCTGCCTACTTCGACGCTATTGAAACGTCTCAAAACACTACCACCTCAACAAAGGTAAGTTCTGCTAATACTTATATTCATCACTTTTTTTGGGAAACACGCAACTCAATCCACCAACTGTGCCCTAGTCTGCGGGATTTCTGTGCCTGGTTACAACAAATTGCCACTTATGTATATGTATGTTGCTAATGACATGCGTACTACAAAACATTCAAGTGTCAATGAATCAGCATCAACAAATAACTTCGAAACCAGTGTTTACCGTGGACGAAAATAAGATAAAGTGCATAGTTTGTCAGGAAAATCATAAATTATATTTGTCTCAAAAGTGGAATATCACAACAAAACATCAGTTATGTTTTAGTTGCCTCAACGCAGGTCATAATACACAAAACTGTGCAAGACGGCGAGAGTGTGGCATTAATTCTTGTCGTAAATTTTACAATCGTCTCTTACATATGTAATTTAAATTTGAAACCTGAAAAATGCAACTCTTTATCCAACAATGCTGTCGCTACCATAAGTGGCTGCAAAACTGTAAGGGCCTCTCAAACCGTAGAATCAGTTGTCTAATGCAAAAAATGGGGAGAAAAACAAAACAGATGATCGTCATACACTGCTGAAAAATTGCTTTTATCGATGAAGGAGCCAAAGTATCCAGCTTATTGTCGCTAAAGTGGATAGGCGATAGAACGACCAGTGACTTATAGGTTGCTGGCATCTTCGACGTCGCAGATAAATTCTGTATGAAAGGCGTACGTACAACTGACAAACTAGGAGCGTTCCTTATCTCGCAGAAATAGTCAGAAAAAGTCCGAAGTAGTCAGATTTAGTCCAAAAAGCGTTCCTTAACTCGGAAATGACAGCAAAAATGAGAGAGCAACACTCAGTGAGAGTGACTCTCATCAGTCCGAAGTAGTCCGATTTAGTCAGAAGAATTTTTTCTGGCATAATCCTGAAAAGTGTCAAACTCAACTGAATTTAAATTAACGGAAATTAAAGAATACGCAAAAAGTGAGAATAATCTAAAAAGTTAAAAAAAGCAAGTGCGCCTGGGCCACACTGGAGAAGTTAAACTTACGATACGAATCTATTTTGTCTCATAACCATATGTAAATACATACATACATCTGCTTTTGCTTAAGGTTATAGATATATAGGTACCTAGATCCCTACCTCTACTACTGTTCCTTCTAATTACATTTATCGACAATAGCATCCAACAAAATATAGCAAAATCGGTTATAATATTGGTAGCAAAATTGATTAGAAAATTGATAAAAATATTGATAACAAAATCTATAAAAATATCGATAAATAATAGATAACAAAATCGATAAATATCGATAACAAAATCGATAAATATCGATAGCAAAATCGATAAATATCGATAATAAAATCGATAAATATCGATAACAAATCGGTAAATATCGATAGCAAAATAGATAAATGTCGAAAACAAAATCGATAAATATCGATAACAAAATCGATAAATATCGATAGCAAAATCGATAAATATCGATAATAAAATCGATAAATATCGATAACAAATCGGTAAATATCGATAGCAAAATAGATAAATGTCGAAAACAAAATCGATAAATATCGATAACAAAATCGATAAATATCGATAGCAAAATCGATAAATATCGATAATAAAATCGATAAATATCGATAACAAATCGGTAAATATCGATAGCAAAATAGATAAATGTCGAAAACAAAATCGATAAATATCGATAACAAAATCGATAAATATCAATAGCAAAATCGATAAATATCGACTACAAAATCGATAACAAAACCTATAAATATCCATGACAAAATCGATAACAAAACCGATAAAAATGTCGATTATTTCATCGACAACTCTCGAGAATCCCGAAAATCTCTAAATTTCCAAAATAGTTCCACAGATTAAGTCTGTGTCTCTCTCTATATCCTTTCCTCTTTAATTACCTTTATTTTAATCTTTCTTCCCCTATCTTCATCTTTACTTTTATCGGTATTCCTCCTCTTTTTCTTTACTTTTATGTTTATCATTTTCTTCATCTACATATTCCTCTTCACCTTTGCCCTTATATATATAAGCAAAGTGTTTAAATTTACTTTGGTCTTCATTTTTCCCTTTATCGTTACGCATCTTTGTTTTTGTTTTTATTTTCACCTTTGACTTTATCCTTTTCTTTACCTATGTATGTACGTACTCACCCTTACTTTCATCATTGTATTGGTCTTTTTCTAAGTGTTATTCTTTAACCTTTTATTAGTTGTATACCATATGCATACACACAATAAGCACTTGTTTCAGCCCCAACCATTTCCGTTGCACCATTTCCATTGCACCATTTCCGTTGCATCATATCCGTTACACCATTTCCGTTGCACCATTTCCATTGCACCATTTCCGTTGCATCATATCCGTTACACCATTTCCGTTGCACCATTTCCATTGCACCATTTCCGTTGCATCATATCCGTTACACCATTTCCGTTGCACCATTTCCATTGCACCATTTCCGTTGCATCATATCCGTTACACCATTTCCGTTGCACCATTTCCATTGCACCATTTCCGTTGCATCATTTCCGTTGCACCATTTCCGTGTGCAATTTCCGTTGAATTTGCAAATTTACTCCCAACAAACGAAACGCCGCTAAAGAAGTTTCACTTCAAAAAAGTGAATTGAAATTGGAAGGAGGCAAAAAATAAATGATATAGAAAGTGTTTATTGTGCTTGTGCTTGTGTGAATGTGTTTTGTACATACATTTCCATTCTTATTTGACGTTAGTTTTGTTGTTGCCATTCTTTGGACTAAAAATTGGGTTCTTTGCGTTCCTTTACTTTTCCTGTTATTCTCTTTTAGTGAGCGCATTTTGCTTATGCTCTGGCATTTTGACACTTTTCAGATTTTAGTCCAAAAAGATAAGGAATGAACCTACTGTTGTGCCATCCCAGTCGCTGAACTTTGGCAAAATTGTCGAGCAGCACAATGAATTAAAACATATTCCAATTAGAGATTATAAAAACGTCACAGCGCAGTTATTTATTAATTTGGTACGGCTTACACATTATTTTGGTACGGCCGTTTAATATGTTGAATTTCGACGACGGTTTATTGCGCACAAAACGAAACTTGGTTGGGTGTTTTTCGGGTCAAATGAGCCCAAATGTGAGGATGCTGCGATTGGCCATGTAGCCACTGACAACGACATTTTAATAGATTTGTATAAACAAATGACAGACTATTTTGAATGGGAGAATTTTAAACCAGCGGCGCTGCCGCGCGTGAATACAACAGCTGACATAGGGGGTAAAGCTATTTTAAGGCAACCTACAAATTATGTGGGGCATAAGTATGAAACTGGGCTCTTATGGAAAAGGGATAATGTTTCTTTTGGTCGAAAATTACAGTATGGCACTGAAACGATTAGAGGTTATCAAAAGGCGCATGCTGAACGATGCTAAGTGTACGAAGTGGTATAAACAAAGAATTTCGGAATAAGTATGTTAGAAAGTCGTATGCCATCAAATTAACACCGCTTGAATCTGCGATAGTTAACGAGCGCACATGGTACTTGGCACATATTGTGGTGAAGAATTATGACAAAAGGCGGCTTGTATTTGACGCCGCGGCAATGAGAGATGGTGAATCGTTGAACTCGATACTAATGAAAGGGCCTAATGAGTATCAGCCAAAACCGCTGCTGTCAATACTATTAAAATTTTGACAGGGCAATTTCTGCGTGTGTGGGGACATAAAAGAGATGTTCCACCGCGTCGATATAAGGAACGAGGATCGAACTTGTTTTAATATAATATATGTCTTTATTCAATAGCAGTTAAAGTGAGAGTGAGAATAAGTACAAAGAGATTAAAGAAATTCTTTTTCTAACATTTGTACAACACGTGTATTACAGATTTGTATATGTATATATTACAGGGTTGTACAAAGTGTAAGAGTCAATAAGGTGACCAGCTATATATAATAAGTTGTTCACTTTATAACACCCTCCTGAACGACTTATTTCTATGCGTTCGCTTT